TTTTGTTAATTTATTTATTTTTTTTCATATAAATTTTATAGTTTTATATGTTCTCTAAGATGACTGTTTGCCTGCTGGTGTTTATTTTATATTTTTAAATATTTAAGAATTTTTATATTTCAAATAGAAATTTCTTGGCATACTTCCCATTAAGACAAACAAAAAGATGAATTATAAATTACCCAAAAACCCATGTAAACTATTTATGATCTTGTTCGGTTATTTGTTTCGCAAAAAGTTTAATCAAAATCTTAATTGTTTATAGTGGTAATTTATTTTTATTATTAATAATTAAACTATAATGTTAAAGAGATTAGATACATATACATATACTATTCGATTTATTTTTATGAGGTGGTTTTGCTAAAAACAAATGATGACATGATCTTTTTTTGAAAGATCATACTCAATGGAACAGTTTAGAGAATACATAAATAAAGACAAGTCATTTTTATAGCCTAATCTATAGCATAGTATAGTCTAGTCTATAGTCTAGTCTATAGTCTAGTCTATAGTCTAGTCTATAGTCTAGTCTATAGTCTAGTCTATAGTCTAGTCTATAGTCTAGTCTATAGTCTAGTCTATAGTCTAGTCTATAGTCTAGTCTATAGTCTAGTCTATAGTCTAGTCTATAGTCTAGTCTAGTCTATAGTCTAGTCTATAGTCTAGTCTATAGTCTAGTCTATAGTCTAGTCTATAGTCTAGTCTATAGTCTAGTCTATAGTCTAGTCTATTGTCTAGTCTATAGTCTAGTCTATAGTCTAGTCTAAGTCTAGTCTATAGTCTAGTCTATAGTCTAGTCTATAGTCTAGTCTATAGTCTAGTCTATAGTCTAGTCTATAGTCTAGTCTATAGTCTAGTCTATAGTCTAGTCTATAGTCTAGTCTATAGTCTAGTCTATAGTCTAGTCTATAGTCTAGTCTATAGTCTAGTCTATAGTCTAGTCTATAGTCTAGTCTATAGTCTAGTCTATAGTCTAGTCTATAGTCTAGTCTATAGTCTAGTCTATAGTCTAGTCTATAGTCTAGTCTATAGTCTAGTCTATAGTCTAGTCTATAGTCTAGTCTATAGTCTAGTCTATAGTCTAGTCTATAGTCTAGTCTATAGTCTAGTCTATAGTCTAGTCTATAGTCTAGTCTATAGTCTAGTCTATAGTCTAGTCTATAGTCTAGTCTATAGTCTAGTCTATAGTCTAGTCTATAGTCTAGTCTATAGTCTAGTCTATAGTCTAGTCTATAGTCTAGTCTATAGTCTAGTCTATAGTCTAGACTATAGTCTAGTCTATAGTCTAGTCTATAGTCTAGTCTATAGTCTAGTCTATAGTCTAGTCTATAGTCTAGTCTATAGTCTAGTCTATACTCTAGTCTATAGTCTAGTCTATAGACTAGTCTATAGTCTAGTCTATAGTCTAGTCTATAGTCTAGTCTATAGTCTAGTCTATAGTCTAGTCTATAGTCTAGTCTATAGTCTAGTCTATAGTCTCTATAGTCTAGTCTATAGTCTAGTCATATAGTCCTAGTCTATAGTCTCGTTATAGTCTATAGTCTAGTCTATAGTCTAGTCTATAGTCTAGTCTATAGTCTAGTCTATAGTCTAGTCTATAGTCTAGTCTATAGTCTAGTCTATAGTCTAGTCTATAGTCTAGTCTATAGTCTAGTCTATAGTCTAGTCTATAGTCTAGTCTATAGTCTAGTCTATAGTCTAGTCTATGTCTAGTCTATAGTCTAGTCTTAGTCTAGTCTATAGTAGTCTTAGTCTATCTAGTCTAGTCTATAGTCTAGTCTATAGTCTAGTCTATAGTCTAGTCTATAGTCTAGTCTAGATAGTCTAGTCATAGTCTAGTCTATAGTCTAGTCTATAGTCTAGTCTATAGTCAGTCTATAGTCTAGTCTATAGTCTAGTCTATAGTCTAGTCTATAGTCTAGTCTATAGTCTTAGTCTATAGTCTATAGTCTAGTCTATAGTCTAGTCTATAGTCTAGTCTATAGTCTAGTCTATAGTCTAGTCTATAGTCTAGTCTATAGTCTAGTCTATAGTCTAGTCTATAGTCTAGTCTATAGTCTAGTCTATAGTCTAGTCTATAGTCTAGTCTATAGTCTAGTCTATAGTCTAGTCTATAGTCTAGTCTATAGTCTAGTCTATAGTCTAGTCTATAGTCTAGTCTATAGTCTAGTCTATAGTCTAGTCTATAGTCTAGTCTCTAGTCTAGTCTATAGTCTAGTCTATAGTCTAGTCTATAGTCTAGTCTATAGTCTAGTCTATAGTCTAGTCTATAGTCTAGTCTATAGTCTAGTCTATAGTCTAGTCTATAGTCTAGTCTATAGTCTAGTCTATAGTCTAGTCTATAGTCTAGTCTATAGTCTAGTCTATAGTCTAGTCTATAGTCTAGTCTATAGTCTAGTCTATAGTCTAGTCTATAGTCTAGTCTATAGTCTAGTCTATAGTCTAGTCTATAGTCTAGTCTATAGTCTAGTCTATAGTCTAGTCTATAGTCTAGTCTATAGTCTAGTCTATAGTCTAGTCTATAGTCTAGTCTATAGTCTAGTCTATAGTCTAGTCTATAGTCTAGTCTATAGTCTAGTCTATAGTCTAGTCTATAGTCTAGTCTATAGTCTAGTCTATAGTCTAGTCTATAGTCTAGTCTATAGTCTAGTCTATAGTCTTAAGTCTATAGTCTAGTCTATAGTCTAGTCTATAGTCTAGTCTATAGTCTAGTCTATAGTCTAGTCTATAGTCTAGTCTATAGTCTAGTCTATAGTCTAGTCTATAGTCTAGTCTATAGTCTAGTCTATAGTCTAGTCTATAGTCTAGTCTATAGTCTAGTCTATAGTCTAGTCTATAGTCTAGTCTATAGTCTAGTCTAGTCTATAGTCTAGTCTATAGTCTAGTCTATAGTCTAGTCTATAGTCTAGTCTATAGTCTAGTCTATAGTCTAGTCTATAGTCTAGTCTATAGTCTAGTCTATAGTCTAGTCTATAGTCTAGTCTATAGTCTAGTCTATAGTCTAGTCTATAGTCTAGTCTATAGTCTAGTCTATAGTCTAGTCTATAGTCTAGTCTATAGTCTAGTCTATAGTCTAGTCTATAGTCTAGTCTATAGTCTAGTCTATAGTCTAGTCTATAGTCTAGTCTATAGTCTAGTCTATAGTCTAGTCTATAGTCTAGTCTATAGTCTAGTCTATAGTCTAGTCTATAGTCTAGTCTATAGTCTAGTCTATAGTCTAAGTCTAGTCTATAGTCTAGTCTATAGTCTAGTCTATAGTCTAGTCTATAGTCTAGTCTATAGTCTAGTCTATAGTCTAGTCTATAGTCTAGTCTATAGTCTAGTCTATAGTCTAGTCTATAGTCTAGTCTATAGTCTAGTCTATAGTCTAGTCTATAGTCTAGTCTATAGTCTAGTATAGTCTAGTCTATAGTCTAGTCTATAGTCTAGTCTATAGTCTAGTCTATAGTCTAGTCTATAGTCTAGTCTATAGTCTAGTCTATAGTCTAGTCTATAGTCTAGTCTATAGTCTAGTCTATAGTCTAGTCTATAGTCTAGTCTATAGTCTAGTCTATAGTCTAGTCTATAGTCTAGTATATAGTCTAGTTCTATAGTCTAGTCTATAGTCTAGTCTATAGTCTAGTCTATAGTCTAGTTATAGTCTAGTCTATAGTCTAGTCTCTAGTCTAGTCTATAGTCTAGTCTATAGTCTAGTCATAGTCTAGTCTATAGTCTAGTTCTATAGTCTAGTCTATAGTCTAGTCTATAGTCTAGTCTATAGTCTAGTCTATAGTCTAGTCTATAGTCTAGTCTATAGTCTAGTCTATAGTCTAGTCTATAGTCTAGTCTATATTCTAGTCTATAGTCTAGTCTATAGTCTAGTCTATAGTCTAGTCTATAGTCTAGTCTATAGTCTAGTCTATAGTCTAGTCTATAGTCTAGTCTATAGTCTAGTCTATAGTCTAGTCTATAGTCTAGTCATAGTCTAGTCTATAGTCTAGTCTATAGTCTAGTCTATAGTCTAGTCTATAGTCTAGTCTATAGTCTAGTCTATAGTCTAGTCTATATAGTCTATAGTCTAGTCTAAGTCTAGTCTATTGTCTAGTCTATTCTAGTCTAGTCTATAGCCTAGTCTATAGTCTAGTGTATAATCTAGTCCATAGTTTAGCCTATAGTCTAGTCCACAGTTTAACCTATAGTCTAGTCTATAGTTCAGTCTATAGTCTATTTTATAGTCTAGTCTATAGTCTATCTTACATTCGAGTCTATAGTCTACTCTATAGTTTAGTCTATAGTCTAGTTTATAGTCTAGTCTATAGCCTAGTCTATAGTCTAGTCTATAGTCGAGTATTTAGTTTAGTCTATAGTCTAGTCTATAGTCTAGTCTATAATATAATTTATAGCCTAGTCTATAATCTAGTCCATAGTTTAGCCTATAGATTAACCTATAGTCTAGTCTATAGTTCAGTCTATAGTTTAGCTTATATTCGAGTCTATAGTCTAGTCTAGTCTAGTCTATAGTCTAAGCAGCGTGCAATGCATACAAAAGTGATAACAAAAAAGCTAATAGTAATGTCAGGTCAAGACAAAACTATTGCTGGAATATTTCCAATAATTTCTTTAAATACATGACTTTTTAATTTTTTACAATTTAAATATTTTTTTATTTCCCTCTTTTTTATCAATTCTATTACCAAACAATATTCCATATTGCTCGTACGACTGAATGAATATAAAACACTATAAAATTCCTACTGGAATTTATAAATAAAAAAATACATCAACTGACTGCAGTAGAAATAAAATCTATTTGTATTTGTTATAAAAATACAGCAACAACAGCAAAAAAACATTAGAATACAATAAAATCCTAAAAAATCCAAATGCAAATAAAGAAAAACTAAATTCAACGTTTGCAGTTAAGAAAAAAATAAAAAAAAAAATTAAACAAAAAAGTACTTTCGTAAACAGAAATATGAGTTTCATAAAAAAATATATACAATTGTTTATTATTAAATAAATATTAATAAATAAGGCAAAAAAATTTAGAAAAAAATGAAATAATATTGCGTTTGTAAAATAAAAAAAGTAAATACAAGGAAATATTCAGAATTTTTAGTAAATAAAACAGAGCAACGACATGAGGCTGCTGGTTTTAGCTCTATTTCAAAAATAAACAGTAACAAAAATTATGCGAAACACAAAGTACAAAATAAAGTTTTGAAATTAGTGTGAAATTAAAACTTAAACCAAAATGTTGTTCAATATTAGTTATTTAAGTTGTTTGTGGAGTAAGTAGGAAGTTTTTGAAAATATTTAATTAAAACTTTTATTTAAGATTTTATGTTCAAATTTTCCTCTAGTGAGTTTGCTATTGTGTGTCCCTTTAAATTTGGCCAGCAAGTGTAGAGATCGCATTGAGAATGACTGTTCGGTAGAAGTGCGACATCAGTGTTATTTTGATACGGAAAGAACGTGTTTTAAACATTTCAAAACAAATTGTGAAATGGAAATATCTGCTTGTAAATATGAAAAGGGTGAGAATGAAATGAAAAAAGTGTAAAATGGAGTATAAAACAGTGTGGTAAATAATTATAGATTCACAAATTATTTTTGTTAAAATTAAATGTTCGAAAGTGTAGAGGGCAAGGGTAAAGTCAATAGACTATTACATGGACTAGTCAAGACATCAGTCTAAAGTCTGGTCTATGGACTACACTAGAGTCTAATCTATTGTTTAGTCTACGGTCTAGTATATAGTATTGTCTATAGTACATTCTATAGACTTGTGTATAGTCTGGTATATAGTAAAGTGTTTAGGCTTTAATCTATTCTGTAGTCTAGTCTATAGCCCAGTCTATAGTTTAGTCTATAGTCTATCAAAATTCCATTTTTAAGGGTGTAGAAAGCGAGAGTGTAGCCTATAGACTATCACATGGACTAGTTAGAGATCAGTCTAAAGTCTGGTCTATGGACTAGGTTATGGTCTAGTCTGTGGTTTAGTCTATGGTCTAGTATATAGTATTGTCTATGCTCCAATCTATAGACTAGTATATAGTCTACTATATATTGTATATACAATGTAGTCTGTGGTCTAGTCTAGGGTATAGTATATGGTCTAGTCTATGGTCTAGTCGATAGTTTAGTCTATAGTCAAGTGTAGTCGATAGTCTAAAGTCTAGACGATAGTCTAAAATCTAGTCTATAGTGTATTCGATAGTCTAGTATAGTCGATAGTCTAAAGTCTAGATGATAGTCTAAAATCTAGTCAATAGTGTAGTCGATAGTCTAGTATAGTCGATAGTCTAAAATCTAGTCTATAGTGTAGTCTTGTCTATGGTCTAGTCTACAGTCAAATCTATAGTCAAGTCTATAATCTATTCCACAATCTAATATATAGTCTAGTCTATAATCTAGTCTATAGTCTAGTCTATAGTCTAGTCTATAGTCTAGTCTATATTCTAGTCTATATTCTAGTCTATAGTCTAGTCTATAGTCTAGTCTATATTCTAGTCTATATTCTAGTCTATAGTCTAGTCTATAGTCTAGTCTATAATCTAGTCTATAGTCTAGTCTATAATCTAGTCTATAGTCTAGTCTATAGTCTAGTCTATAGTCTATAGTCTAGTCTATAGTCTAGTCTATAATCTAGTCTATAGTCTAGTCTATAGTCTAGTCTATAGTCTAGTCTATAGTCTAGTCTATAGTCTAGTCTATAGTTTAGTCTATAGTCTAGTCTATAGTATAATCTAGAGTTAGTTTATTGTCAATTCTCAAGCCAGTTCCACAGCATAGTTTATAGTCTATGCTATGATTTTATTTTTATCTCACTAGTTTATGAAACAGTATAAGCTCTAGTCTGTTGACTAATCCGTGAACCGATCTAGTGATTATAGTCAATGAAATTATCCCCCAAATTTTAGTATCTCTCTGTGAATCTGTAATAAATACCAACACTATTGCTTACTCCGCAAATTCCAACTGTCTTAGCTTTCATATTCATATCGTAAATATTTATTTTTAGAGTATCGCGCATTTCCGGAAAAATTCTGTAAATCTTTGCAATTTATGTGCAATGAAGAAATCGATGACTTTCACTGGCCGCCGGATTATTTTGATGAACAAATAGCAAATCTGCGCAAAAAAACCGCTAAATCCATATGAGGGCATGTATTAGGCGAAAAATAAACTATAAAATTAATAAAGTAAACAAATATCATAAATTATGAAACGAGAATTTTTCAAATATTTTAAACAAATTAAAATAAACAATAAAAGTCAATGTGTATACAAACTTGTTAACAAAAGAAAAACGTAATCAATTTTGTGCAAAAAATCAAAGCACCCAATAGGAAAAGTTAAATATAAAAGAAATTCCCAAAGCAAATTTTGTTTTATATTCTTGTCATTTCCTAACTGGTTTTTATTATTCTTAGAATGCTTGAAATTTATGAAAATTTAAAATTAGTCACAATTATTTTTATATAGAGCCAAAAACAACAGAAACAACTTTTCCAAAATTTATGGTCATCATAAAATAGAAACAGATACACAAATTTTTACGCCGCAATTTAAAAATATCATCATTCTATATACAACACACATCGCATCACAACATTTCACACACTTTGGAATAGCACCAACCGATCAGCACCAACGTCAGCCAGTCACTACCCATCAGTAATATCATCATTATTATCAACAGCATCTCTATTTCTATTGTAGCATCATCATTAGTGTCTCCATTTAGTTCTTTTTTTAAGTATCAACATTAATATTATCGAAAGTTATACATTTATCTAGTTGTTCTATTAAGTTCATCAGATAAGTTTGTAATTTGTTCGACTAAAAATGTGGAATGCGATAAAAAATAATTTAACAGTCTAGTCTAGTCTATAGTCTAGTCTAGTCTAGTATATAGTCTAGTCTATAGTCTAGTCTATAGTCTAGTCTATAGTCTAGTCTATAGTCTAGTCTATAGTCTAGTCTATAGTCTAGTCTATAGTCTAGTCTATAGTCTAGTCTATAGTCTAGTCTATAGTCTAGTCTATAGTCTAGTCTATAGTCTAGTCTATAGTCTAGTCTATAGTCTAGTCTATAGTCTAGTCTATAGTCTAGTCTATAGTCTAGTCTATAGTCTAGTCTATAGTCTAGTCTATAGTCTAGTCTATAGTCTAGTCTATAGTCTAGTCTATAGTCTAGTCTATAGTCTCTATAGTCTAGTCTATAGTCTAGTCTATAGTCTAGTCTATAGTCTAGTCTATAGTCTAGTCTATAGTCTAGTCTATAGTCTAGTCTATAGTCTAGTCTATAGTCTAGTCTATAGTCTAGTCTATAGTCTAGTCTATAGTAGTCTATAGTCTAGTCTATAGTCTAGTCTATAGTCTAGTCTATAGTCTAGTCTATAGTCTAGTCTATAGTCTAGTCTATAGTCTAGTCTATAGTCTAGTCTATAGTCTAGTCTATAGTCTAGTCTATAGTCTAGTCTATAGTCTAGTCTATAGTCTAGTCTATAGTCTAGTCTATAGTCTAGTCTATAGTCTAGTCTATAGTCTAGTCTATAGTCTAGTCTATAGTCTAGTCTATAGTCTAGTCTATAGTCTAGTCTATAGTCTAGTCTATAGTCTAGTCTATAGTCTAGTCTATAGTCTAGTCTATAGTCTAGTCTATAGTCTAGTCTATAGTCTAGTCTATAGTCTAGTCTATAGTCTAGTCTATAGTCTATAGTCTAGTCTATAGTCTAGTCTATAGTCTAGTCTATAGTCTAGTCTATAGTCTAGTTATAGTCTAGTCTATAGTCTAGTCTATAGTCTAGTCTATAGTCTAGTCTATAGTCTAGTCTATAGTCTAGTCTATAGTCTAGTCTATAGTCTAGTCTATAGTCTAGTCTATAGTCTAGTCTATAGTCTAGTCTATAGTCTAGTCTATAGTCTAGTCTAGTCTAGTCTATAGTCTAGTCTATAGTCTAGTCTATAGTCTAGTCAATAGTCTAGTCTATAGTCTAGTCTATAGTCTAGTCTATAGTCTAGTCTATAGTCTAGTCTATAGTCTAGTCTATAGTCTAGTCTATAGTCTAGTCTATAGTCTAGTCTATAGTCTAGTCTATAGTCTAGTCTATAGTCTAGTCTATAGTCTAGTCTATAGTCTAGTCTATAGTCTAGTCTATAGTCTAGTCTATAGTCTAGTCTATAGTCTAGTCTATAGTCTTGTCTATAGTCTAGTCTATAGTCTAGTCTATAGTCTAGTCTATAGTCTAGTCTATAGTCTAGTCTATAGTCTAGTCTATAGTCTAGTCTATAGTCTAGTCTATAGTCTAGTCTATAGTCTAGTCTATAGTCTAGTCTATAGTCCAGTCTATAGTCTAGTCTATAGTGTAGTCTATAGTTCAATCTATAGTCTAGTCTATAGTCTAGTCTATAGTCTAGTCTATAGTCTAGTCTATAGTCCAGTCAATAGTCTAGTCTATAGTCTAGTCTATAGTCTAGTCTATAGTCTAGTCTATAGTCTAGTCTAGTCTTTTTTTTTTTTTTTTTTTTTTTTTATATAATGGGGTGCGGAATCTTCATAGATATGAATTATAATCCATTATGTGAGATTCAGCTATGTTTTGCGCCACGTACTCACTAAACCGCCTTCCCATCGTCAACCGCAAAACCCCGCGGAACTGCCTTTAGGTATTACGTCGCGGGGATGGTAAGCATCTATGCTATCTCCACATTTAACGCATTTCTCCTTTGCTCTTTTCGACTTTTTTCCTCCAGTTGTAACAGCAGGTTTATATCGGTTATATAGTTCGATATTAGTTCCCACTTTTCCGGTGAAGTAATCATGATATCAATTATATTTCCAGGGTTAATATCATGTCCTACACCAACCTCTACTTCGCGTCTATGACCATCGAATCTACGACATTTAAAGACTACATGTTCTGCGTCCTCCGGAACATGTAGTCTATAGTCTAGTCTATAGTCTAGTCTATAGTCTAGTCTATAGTCTAGTCTATATTCTAGTCTATAGTCTAGTCTATAGTCTAGTCTATAGTCTAGTCTATAGTCTAGTCTATAGTCTAGTCTATAGTCTAGTCTATAGTCTAGTCTATAGTCTAGTCTATAGTCTAGTCTATAGTCTAGTCTATAGTCTAGTCTATAGTCTAGTCTATAGTCTAGTCTATAGTCTAGTCTATAGTCTAGTCTATAGTCTAGTCTATAGTCTAGCCTATAGTCTATTCTTTAGTTTAATCTGTAGTCTAATCTATTGTCAAAACTGAGTCCCTCCGACTCAACTCGCTGTGAACTACCACGATAATCAACCAGTCTAATCTATAGTCTGGTCTATAGTCTAGTCTGCAGTTTAATCTGTAGTCTAGTATATAGTCTAGCCTATATTATAATCTATAGTTTAATCTGTGGTCTAATCTATTGTTAAAACTGAGTTCTCTCGCAGTGAACTACCACGATAACCACGCAGTCTAGTCTATAGTCTAGTATATAGTCTATGGTCTAGTCCATGTTCTAGTCTGTAGTCGGCGTCTTTTTAAAGAGGTGTTTTAAAGTCGGCTTTTTTTTTAGTATTTCTCTTACCCATTTCTTTCTGTTACTAAATTATGTTGTATTCTTTTTTGGCGTTACAAAAACAAAAAAATAACACAAAAGCAAATCGAAAAGTAGCGCAATGTCAATGATCTTTAAAAATAAACACATCTTTTTAACATAAATTCTGTGAAAACGTTCGAAAAAATGCATTAATTTTTATACATAATTGTCTTGGCTCCGTTAGCCTAGAACAGAAAAGAATAAAAAACATTTTTAACAATTTTAAAATTTATAGAAATACAATTTACGTTAAAATAAAATGTGTGGCAAATTGATTTAAATTGTGTTTTTTTTAAAGAACGTTCAATGCTTTACAGTGCTACAGAAATGTTTAGGATTTTTTAAAAATAAGGCATATCACAGTTTTTAAATGGAGGAGAATTGAATTTGACAAAATTTTAAATTCATGAAAAATTTTTGATAAAAACTTATCAGTTATAGACATTTCTTGTTAAAGTTTCAAATTTTCCAATAATTCTCGAAATATAGAAATTTTCCATAAATTTTCGAAATAATTACAAATTTTCGTTTGATACCCCAATTAATTTTTTGCCATTGCCAGTCTATGACATTCTTATAAATCTCGTTAAAAAAAATGTTCTATAAACCTAAATAAACCCAATTGCGCTTCATTTTTAATTTCTTGATTATTTCTTTTAATTAAATTTTCAATTATTTTTCGAAACGAAACAACAAAATTAAAATGTTATTAAGGCGATTATCAGTTAAGTAAACCCTTTTTAAACTAAGAGGTTTCAAACAATTTGACATCATTAGAATCTAATAAATTAAATGTAAAAATTGTAAATTTAATTTCTTATTCTTTTTTTTTATTCGTGAGCTTATTTTCTGTTTCATTAACTTAACCTTGACATGAATACAGGTGTACAAGTATATTTTGTGTATAAAATTTTTTTGCCAACTTTTAGTTTCGTTTTATTTTAGTATTCTGTCATGGTTCTTATGCTTATGTTTTTGTAAACGTAAAGCAATAGAAAAAAATATATATTTTGAAAACAACGACAACAAGAAATATTAATCCGTTTTTAAATACGCCCTCCCTCTAAATATATTTAATTGAATTTATCTGTCAGTTTTTGTATTTGGGTTGTTAATTTGGTTTGTTTCTTGTTGTTTTTTCGAACACATTTATGTCACTTGTTATTGCTTTGTGTCCATTTTTTTACTTTATTTCAAATTAGTATTATTCTTTTTTATTTATTTTCAATTCAGAATTGTTTAATTTAACTTGTAGTTCTTTTTTTAAGAATCTGTCTTTTTCTGTATGTCATGGTGTCTTAAGAGTCACTATGGAAAGAAGGAGATATACTGATTTAAGTATTTTGTTTGGGACATGTAGAAAATCGATGTCAGATACTAACTACTAGGGTTCTATAGTTGAAACAAAAAGTCGACTTTTTAACTTTGTCTTTTTGCATTTAGTTAAGAGTCAACTTTTTGTATTTTATGAAAAGTCGAATTTTCGACTTTTAGTATTTTAATAAATAGTTGACTTTTTTCGACCTTTCGTCATTTTTCGATTTTTTTTTCGACTTTTTGACTATTTTTTGACTTTTTCGAGTTTTTCCGACTATTTTAGAGTTTTTGACTTTTTTCCACTTTTTTAAAATTTGCGACTATTTTTGACTTTTTTCTAC